TTTTTTTTTTTTTTTTTGAAAAAATACTTTTATTTTACTTTTTTGTTCTCAATAGAAATTTAAAATAAAAAAATGATCTTTACATTTTAAAAAGACATTATGTTCATACAGTTTTTAATTACCAATTATTAGTTGCTAGAATATCACTTATGAGTTTTCCCACATCGTTTATACATGGAAAATAGACCCAACTTATAAGCCTAGTGGGCTACTCCTACTTCCACCAATTGGTTTTGGGATGAAACTTCACTTGAACTTCATTTGAACTTTTCCTCGTATGGTACGCAGTACGCTTCATGTGCGTGGGACCGCACCCACCGGTTCTACGTAGGACCGTGCGATAACGTACCCGTCACCTAACCCAACATGGTATCAGAGTGGATTCTTCGTGGGACCGTGCGATGACGTACTCGTCACCCAGCCCAGTTGGACTTGAGCTCCCGACTCCGTATATGGGCTTGACCTTCGTATAAAGAACTCACAATTGAGGGGGCGTGTTAGAATATCACTTGTGAGTTGTCTCACATCATTTATACATTAAAAATATGCCCAAGTTAAGCCTAGTGGGCTACTCTTCTTTCCACCAATTGGTTTTTGGGGTGGAACTTCATTTGGGTTTAATCTGAGCTTTCCCTGTTATAGTGTACTTCATCTGTGCGGGACCGCACCCATTCTACCTCCGATTCTTACATGACATCAGAGCCGGTTCTACGTGGGACCATACGATGACATACCCGTCACCCAACCCAGTTGGGCTTGGGGTTCGTATGAAGGACTCACAAATTGGGGGACATGTTAGAATATAGTATTACTTTTGAGTAGTCCCACATCGTTTATACATGGGAAATAGGTCTAACTTATAAGCCTAGTGTGTTACTCCTCCTTCCACCTATTGGTTTTTGGATGGAACCTCACCATTTGGGCTTTTCCATTTCCCCCTGTATGAAGGATTCACAAGTGAAGGGCGTGTTAGAATATAATAAGTCTAATGGGTTACTCCTCCTTCCACTAGTTGGTTTTGGGATATACCCGATTCTTACATTACTTAATGTTTCTTATATCAAATTCAATTTTAGTAATTACATTTGTAGTGTATCTCATTAACCTAAAAAAAAANTTTTTTTTTTTTGGAACAAGAAAGGGAGGCGAAGCCTACGCATAACTAAGTGAGAATCCTTCGAGGATAAGATACGCCAATATATCCTATCGTGGTGTAACCATATGCTCGCCCCGACGGAGGACTCTCTAACCTATGAATACCACCCGGGCCTTTCGCCGCCAAAGAGGCCAAATAATCCGCCACAAAGTTGGCTTCTCTATATTCATGGGTAATTTCCACCACCCAATAACGGTCCAAGAACTCCTTTATTCCCCTCAATATTGATGTTCGTGTTGAACCATATCGATAATGCTCTTACTGTCAACCTCACTTTAAACTTTCGAGCTCCGATATCCCAAGCCAGAAGTAGACCCTGAAACAGGCCTCACAGTTTCGCTCCAACGATCAAGCAAAACCCGATATTCATCAAGAAGCCATTCACTCAATTCCCATGATGATGAAGAACGACGCCACCAACACTAGCAATCCCCGTCGATGGATCAAAGCTTCCATCCATATTGACCAAACAACGACTCCCAGTCCATCTCAAGCACTGCTTAAGCTGCCCGCTAAATTTTTCAAAAACCACCCTCTAATATCCAGTAAGAAGAAGACACGTCAAAGTCTGTTCGGGAATTAACCAACCTCTTCCAAGTGAGGGTCGCCTCAAGACAATCACGTAACGCATGGAGCGTTTGACTCACACCCCGCCAAGCAAGCTGGATATTTGAATATATTTCTATCCAGCCGAATATTTTTTTTTTTTTTTAAAAAAAAGGGTATTTAATTTCTCCTTAAACTTATCCTTTTGGCTTATTACATGCACTTGTTTAAAATTTATTTAAAGATAAAAGGCAAGTCGCAAAGTAGATGCAAACTTGCACGCCATTTTGACATAAGAATAAAAAAATAAAAAAGGCTTGCACGTCGTTTTAGCTCTATCCGATCTGATTGAAAACAACCAAAAACCAATAAATATTCAACTTTGTATTAGAAATTCCACAAACAACAAAATGGTGACATAGATGTAATATTATATTCTTAATTTATTCATCATTTTATTTACTATTAATTTGTAAGATTTATATAATCAGAAGAAGAGGGTGCGGTCCCACCAGATAAAGTGCACCAACAGAAAAACCCAAATAAAGTAGTGAGATTTCATCCCAAAATTGATTGGTGAAAAGATCACTAGCCCAAAACTTTTATAAATATTTCAAATCATAAATTCAACTTACTGTATTAGTATTTTGATCCTAATTGGTACTAATTGATGTATTATTATGTGGGATGTTAAGTGTTTTTATTATTTTTTGCTTTTCATTTTATGCATTAACACATGAACTATATATACACATATATAAAAGCTCGTAGTACTAAATTTCATTATAGATAGGTCGATGTAACATTTATGAATATTCAATTTATATCAATTAATAATTAAAACGTAAAAAAATAATGAAAAGATATACATTCTTATCACATCTATATTTTTTATTAGGATATATATATATATAATCTTATCACATCTATATTTTTATATTTATATCAATATAGTGGACATTGATTGGCCCACCAACTATCAAATTTTCAACTAATATTGACTTTTTTCCCCTTAGCCAACTTATTTTTTGCTTCTATCGTGAGCGTACTTATTAGGCCGTGTTTGAGTGAGAGATGGATTTGCCAGCTTTATCAGCATTGACTNTTCAAGAAGCTCAAGAAAATCCTCAAGAGATGCAGAAAACAGACGCACTCACAAACTGCTGCTGTTTTTGATGGCTGTGTTAGGGAAAATAATGGTGATTTGATTCCTTGTTTTCATCATAATAATGTTTCCACTTGCCCAGGTACTTATAATTATAAATTCCAGCTTTTCAAGTGTGTCACTGTGTGTGAAGTTGTTAAATGAAACGAGCCGCTCGTAAGCTCGGCTTGACTCTTTAAAGGCTCGATCTCAGATCGAGCTCGTTTAATCTCCTTAAGTTTCGATCCCTAGTCGTTAGTATTGATAAAAGAGCGGAGCTCATTTATTGGCTTCTTTAATTAATGAGCCGAGCTAGGCTCGTAAAGGCTCGAGCCTGAGCTCAAGCTCAACTCGGCTCGGCTTGTTTACACACCGATGTGTTTGTCATATTTCAGTTAACTCTAATATTTCTTGACATTTTTATTTGTGATTTTATCTTATATATGGCTTAATTAGTTGCTTAAAAAAAATATACGGTTATGACAGAGCGATTGTTTATATTCAAGAGGGTGTTTTAGGACTTGGTAAATTTCTTTGGGTTGAAAACAACAGTAAGTACAAAATGATAAGAAATAAAAAAATCATGGTAAAGGGAGAATCACATTTACATCATTTTACAATTCACACAATCAAAAACACTACAAGTGAAAGAAAACTAGGAGATTTCTTGACTAAATCCAATTATCAATCACCATTTTAGTCTTTAGAAGTCTAAATATGTCTTTTTTGCTCTGTTTTTAGTCTGCGATGGCACGTTTTTCCCGTCGCTGCTTGAGGAGATGTCTGTTGTGGTTGGATTTTTCAATCAAAGAGTCCAAAGATTGCTCGATCTCCACCTTTCATCGTGCTTTAGCAAGTGGATTATTCGGTTGAAAGACAAATTACAAGGAAATCACATTGCCCCGATTCAAGAAGGCCGTGACCTCGTCACATACGCAATCTTCAATGCCATGGCCATGCGCAAAATACTAAAGAAATACGATAAGGTAAAGTAAATACCTTAACAATGGTCAAGAGGCTATTCGCAACGTACGAAAAGAGTGCATTTTTATTGTTTTTGTGTTTTGCTTTTTGGCGACCTTTTTT